GGAGACTGGGGTCGTGCCCCAGCTGCTAGCCTGTAAATTCTACGGTTAAGCTTTTTCACTGCTTGGTAAACCAATTAAAAGCATTTTTGCCGGAGATCACAGAGGGATTCTCGGAAACATGCTCCTCAGACCCGGAATGCGTCCATGGAGGTCGGTTTGATGGGATCCCTTCAGTGACGTTGGGGAGGAACACCATGCCGTTCCTCTGCAGTGTTTTTCGTTGGCCCTCTGCCCTTATCTGTCCCTGTACCCCTCTATCCACTACCTGCATGGCGCAGTCTGATGCTTCGTTCCGCTTCTGATGTGTTGTAGTGTGGTGAGGGCATGTGTGTGAGATGAGTAGGCACTGCAGGTAGTTTAGTTAAGGGCGACCTTTATATAACAAGCTAGTTGATTCTTCCCTCGTAGGGGAAGGTCTCCGAACACCCATGGCGCTGCCCCCCCCAAAATGCGGTAACCCTGTCACTTCCCAAGTGTTCAAGCAAGTGTTTTTTCGTACAAGCTTTCGTTTTTTTTTTTTTTTTAAGTAAATAAAACACAAGGACGGTCCATATGTATTATTTGATGGTCAGTGTATCCTTCCAGACCTGGATGTCCAGATATCGATCACACTGTTGATGCGGCTTTAGTCTGGGTGCGTGATACTGAAAAGCAGCTTCCGTCGCCCCCTCTTGGAGATGGGAACACCAGTCTCGCATAAGAAAACCCAGGAAACGTCAACAATGATAAACTCTCTCTCTATAAATGTTAACTGTGAATATAAGCATACAATCAAGCCTTAGTTTCCTCTTTCTCTATAGGTTCTGAATGTTCCGGAAGCTCTTCTGTGTAGCCTTGGGGAGCAATGAGTTGTAAAACAATTATCTGCAGCCTCTGTTCCCATCCTTTGCTATAATTGTTTTTTTTTCCTCTTGGAGTGCAGTGGTCAAATTCTTCTCTGGAAGAAAAGCATTCAAGTTTTATTCTGTAAGCCGTGTATTAAATGAAGATATTGAAAACTAAGGGACAGGTACTGTTAATTACAATGGTATAAATATGATTTGATTTAGAATTAGCTTTGGATGAAATGGAGAAGAAGAAGCCTGTTAACCTGGATGCCAGTGTAACGGGTCAAAAACCTGTTGTGGGGGGAAAAAAATTCTGGGAATTGGTAGGACCAGTTAAGTTGATTGAACTTATGGTTAATCATAAGCATTTGCATATTTAAGAATTTTAATAGAAATTCTCTTTAGGATATTAAAGTATGCGCAAAAGATTGCAAGCACCACGTGTATGTATGTATATTTTTTACCATGTTTCTCCATAATTCTAATGGTGACCTTGTCACAGTTCAGCCCCCCCCCTTAATATTCCCATAACATTAAAGCTTGCTTCTCCTATTGTCTGTCTTGTATTTTTTCATTTGGTTTAGAATATTTCAGTGGAGGGTTGAGATGTTAATATTTACCTTTGGCAACATAGAGGTTTAATGTGGCCCTGTTTCCCCTTGCCCTTTAGAAATGCTGCCCCCCATGTTTTATGAATATACTCTCAGACCCGGCTTGCTGGTTCCGCCCAACCCCCCCGATTCCTTGTTCATTTTGCTTTGAAGACCCATAACTTTTTTTCTTAACATGATGGTTACTTACCTGCTAGTTGTATTAGATGTAAATGTCCATTTTAGGGGCACGACAGTCTGAAAGGTGAATTCCATGGTCCAGATGATTTGCTCCTGTATTTTGCCACACCGATAGAGTTCAATGCAAAACTGCTGATTGAAGGAAAATACTTGCAATTTATCATCTGTAAAAAAAAACAACAACAAAAGAACAGTTGAGCTACACTTTGTGAGGAACAGCAGGCTGTAATTTTATTTTTGTAGGTTAGAATATGCCACATTGCACTGGGTGGGGAGGGGGGGCGTCGTATTCATGTTTGCATGGCTCAGTTTCTTTTTGCATACATGATCGTTCACTTCGCCACAGAGTCATAAGTCTACTAGTTATCTTGTTCGCATTTTTTTTTTCCAGGTGGTCAAATATGTTTCAACTTTGTTTTTCATTGTGGATTTCATTATATACTCACAGTACCCATAATTGTCTAACTTTCTTTTACTTCAATGGTTGTATAGAAAGTCTTCAAGCAGTTCTTTAAGAATGTTTGTTTTTATATGTAACACCACATTGATGGGTATATTTTCTTTCTCTGAAAGCACTTTTGTGAAATTATGAATCCCCTCAGTATTTTTGAAATATATTTTTAATTTGTGTGTTGTCCCTCTAGTTGTCTCTGTTTCCTATGTCTACATAGTGTTTTCTCATATTTAACTCTTATTTTCCTTAAATATAATTCATAACTCATTTTAAATTGAAATGCATGGTCTGGGTTGTTTGGGAAAAGTCATTTTAGGACAGGTGAAATTGTACCTTGTGTATAAACTGAGTGTGATTAAAGGAACCCGATCACATTCACACTGTAGTAACGAAAGCTGCCCCTTCAGCCATTCTCCGAACTGTTTTCACTGTTGGATGCGTCTTTTCTGGAAGCTTTCAAAATTGATTGCAAGTCGGGTGTCAGAAATGCCTGGTGTTCAGCCCTGGATCGTTTTGTACAGGATACTTGGAGAAGACAGCATATTAACTTGAAGCAGTATTTCAAGTGCTTTTATTTTATTTTAATTTTTTTTAAGTCAACAATGGGCGTGTTTAAGTGTGGATTTGAGCACCGTTAATTGGGGGATTTTTTTTCTTTTTCTTTTTTTTTTTTGCGCTGCTTGCTGGATGAACTCGTGCTCAGTTCCCTTCCTTGCTGACCGTGGGCATTGCTGTTTGCCGCTTTGCACATGCCTCCAAGAGATGAGATGTATTACCTGGACTGGGTCAACCTGGAGAGGACGACTGCAGCAGCCATATGGGTCTGCCCTGGCACAGCAGTGCTGGAATGTGTAATTCATTGTATATTACAGTCAGAAATAAAGAATGGACAACTTTTCTTTGATTTGAGGGGCTTCCTTGATTTATTCTGCTGTTTGGCCGATTTGATACCTTGTTTCAGTGATGACTTTGTACTCCATAGGCATAGTTAATGGGTGTCTGTGCTGTGCCATAATGCTGTGGCTGATTTAGCCACCTGCCAGTGGTTCCCACAGCACTACTGTAGACGGCCAATGAGCTGCAGACAAGGGTGAATGTTATGCTGTAAGTGTTTTGCTGTAATGCTGCTGTTATAATGCGGGCTAAGCCTCTGTTCCTGTGGTCGGAAAGCCGCAGGTTCGAGTGCGGCTTCAGCATTATAGTACCACCTGTGGGCCCTTGAGCAAGGCCCTTAACCCCCAGCTCCATGGGCACTGCTTCAGGAGGTTGCCCTTCACTGCCAAGTGTGTTCTCCTTTATATACCTTTATAGGCTCTGTTGAATTTTCGAAAAAAATACACCCAAGACCTTTTCAGAAATAACAACCAACAGAATTACACTTTCAAATGCTTTAGTGGCACTTTGTTTTTGCCATCCTTAGGCTAGAGCTATTTAGATGCCACACAGGAGATTCCAGATAACTGAAATGTTACAGGAGTGCAGCAATATGAGAGGATCTCTACCCAGCTAGCTGTGTAAGACAAAATCCAGGCCCTTCACTTTCAGCTGAAATTCTGATGTGTTTGAGGAAAGTCTGCCACTGCTGCAATTCCTCTGCCAAGGACAACCCTTCTCCAGACCTTTGCTTCTTTGCTCCCTGCAGGTCCTGGTGCTTGAAGGAAGTAATGTTCTATCTCACAGGTAGGTAACCCGAGTCCTCGAGTACCAGTGTTATGGTTTAAATGGTGATCCTGTTAACTGGTGACAAGCGAGTTCATGTGACATGCGTTCACTTATTTTTGCAGCAGATGGAAGCAGATTCATCAGATTTGGAGAGCTAAATAAAAGATGTGCACTAATGAAGAAAATGACTTGTCCTGCACATTTGTAAAATATGACAAGCATGCATGCAGTTATAAAGGTGAATATGAAATTGAATCCCTCATGAAAAGATTGCTGTTCAAGTAGGACTACATATGTTTGTTACCTTAAATATGGACAATACTGAATTTTTACAATTTTATTTCATGTTTCAAAAAATGAGAAATCCACCACCACCACACATCTGCAAGGATACGTAAACATCGGCACTTGAACGCGCTTGTCACAAGTTAACAGGATCACCACTTAAATCGTAATACTGGTATCCAGCAGGTTTTCTACCCCACCTGATGAGTTACTATCTGCCTGAGATCAGATATGGTTCATCAGAGACCAGGTAGGATGGAAATCTTGCTGGATATCAGCACTCCAGGATCAGGGATGCCTACCACTGCTCTATCCAGTGTCTCCATTGCTGTGCAAAGTGCAGATTATGTGTTGCATGTTTTTGCGTGGATCACACTTCTACATTACTCAGGACAATCATAGACATTATGTGTTAATGTCCTTTCAAAAGTACGATTCATGTTGCTTGGAATGTTACCGCGCTCTTCTGCTTTTGGGTTTGTGTTTTTCTCAGCTGCAGCTTTAATCAATAAACCTCTCTGGCAATATATGACCTTTTGGGCTGATAGGCATAAAGATAACCAAGAAACTGGTATTTAAAGCCAGATAAATACTGGGGTTTGATTAAAACTATAAGTATCACATTTGTGAGAAAAAAAATATTGATTTTTGCTGAATACGTCTTAGAAACTTTCCATCTGATAAAATTTAATTGCTCCAGAAAATTGCATAGCTGTGCAACTTCACAGAGTGTATTAGACTGTATGCTAATTTAAAGTCTTCTCACTTGTGTTTAGAGTTGAACCCATGTCCTATTAGATACTGTAATTTCGCGGAAAAACATTAAGAAATTAACAAACTCAGTATACTTTTTTTTTATAAAATAAGTTGTACTATTCAGTGGACATTGAAATATATAACCGAATTCGTGTCCGGACACAGTGTACGGTAAGCGAAAGTCTGGTGTTCACGGTTGAGATAATAGCGGTATTACGGTACTCCAGGAACTCCGTTTGAGAGAATCCAGAAGTTGACGTTTCGGGGAGAAGCTGCTTTCCGCGTCGCTTCGAAATGTCTGCGGCGTTGAGGAATCTGGGAAGTTTTGTGGCGCTGTGTGCAAGAGCTTCTTATAAGGTAATACCATGAAGACGGTCTTGCTTTTTGTTTGCTTTATCGCTGGGTTTGGAAAAGCACATCTTATACCATAAGTGCCTACAGTAATATCTACATACCCCACGTCATTGGTGCGAGTGCGGAAGTAAACGGTTTGGGAAATATATTCATTGTAGTATAAAAAACACTAAATTGCAATTGTATTTAGTGTGTACGGTTTGATATATACTTGATACAGTCACTTACTGACAGTTATAGTATATTTTTGTGGTGTAACCAATAAGAAGTATACATTTGTCCTACCTGAACAATAAATTTTAATTACAACGCAACGCAATGCAGTAACTCAGAATAGAATGAAAACAAGGTATCAAACTGGCCAAAAAATAATGACATTATTGCTCGAATATTAAGCTCTAGCACTTGTCGGGAATGACATTTGCAGTCGATGTGTTTTTGTGTATCGTCCCCTTTTGTTTCGAAAGACTGCAAGTAGATCAAGTTTGAGACTGTAAGACCTCTAAATACACTATATACGCTTTAAAGTCCCTGATTGGAATTGTGAATGGACCCCTCCCAAATAAAAAATACGAAAGACAATGGGGTAGAGCTTCAGCTGGAGTAATATATGTTACTGTGCCTAATTCTGCCGTCATTGCGAGTTACATAGTTGGATCTCACAAGTCCTTGTCCTTCTTCTAGCCCCTTGTACATGGAAGTTCACCAGTGGTTCGGCTTTACGGGTCCTGCCCAATTCGGATCAGCAAGCTGGACCACCTAGTTCTCACAGTAAAGAGTATATCTGACACCATAGCTTTCTACTCGTCTGTCCTTGGTATGGAGGTCATTACTTTCAAGGTAGAGGAGTTGTGAACACTCTAGTATATCAAGACGCATTTCCTATTCTAAAGTACAATACCTTTCATTTAACCGAAAAAAATGCACACATAGTTTAACAGGGTATTTTATTTTTGGTTAACAATTGCTGTGTAGGGATGTTAAATAAATGTAATCTTTCACTATATTTATTTATTTTGGCTGTGTGTTCTCATAAGGTGAGACCATATTTTTTGTAATACCCGTGTCCACCAGGTGTCAGCATTGTATAACAATTGCACTGATTTCTGTAGAGGAAAAAAAAATCGAATTTCCTTGCACTGTTTGTGTCACTGTACGTTTGTAATACTTTAATTGTATTATAATACATTTATTATTATGATATTATTCAGGTATTCCTGATATTATTCCTTTTTATTGGATTCAGGGAAACCGCAAAGCTTTGGGTTTCGGGCAGCAAAAATTCAACCTCCATGAAGCTGGGAAGGAGTTTGAACCAAAAGCTCGACTCCCCACTCCAGGCTCTGTGGACCTGTGTCTCATCACCACAACCCCTTTAGCCACAGTGGCTGCCCATCTTCAGGTGAGCACCCCCCCTCCCCCCGACACCACTTTCTCAGTTTTTCTTTCTCTCTTTTCTTACCATAAGAGTAGATCACAAAAACACCTGAACTGGACCATATTCCATTTTGTGCATGTGTGTGTATCAAGTCAAAACCTCCAGACAGGATCTACAACCTGGAACATCTGCTCATCCTTATTCTGGACAGAAAAAAACACACCAGTAAAGTTTTCCAGACTTGGAGTCATCCAGACGTAGAGGTTGTTCTTGATATATAAAAGTGGGTCAGAGTGTCTTATGAGACTCTACACATTTTCCGACCCATGCAATATTCTGCTGTGTGATATGTGGTTATTTTATCAGTACCTCACTAGGAATTGTTACAGGCTGTATTATTACCGTGATAATAACAGACTTTGAATGGTTGATTTGCAGATCTAGTCACCGAATGAAAAGTGTAGTATTCAGTGCCATCCTGCCAAATCTCTGACCTCACTCTGTGGTTTCTGTTCCCAGGAATCAAACGTGAAGGTAATTTCAGTATTGGTGATGGTGGTGCTCTCCTGCGTGTGTTTGTCAGTGAGAAAGGGCCTTTTGCCTCGTCTTCGGGACGTGGTGTCTGTGCCTATAACGTGTGCGTACACCCTTGTGTGTCTGCAGGCATGTGGTGTACCAGTGGAAGAAGGTCCAGTAGTGAGAACCGGGGCAATGGGCGCTATCACCTCCCTGTATTTCCGTGACCCCGATAACAACCTCATCGAAGTCTCTAACTACAACGAACCTCACAAAGGGAAGGAGGCTTAGGTCACGATCCTGTTCATTGCCGATTCATTGGTTTATTTATTTAAAAAAAAAAATTTGAGGCTCTTTCTGTACAGGTGGGCTTGTGTCTGTCATTTGGGGCAAAAAAAACTCTAATTGTTCAATTCTAGGGTGAAATTATAGTCTGCGTGGTTGAAAATATGGAGTTGTTATGAAACTATTAAGAGTGATGGAAGATTTGACGCAGTCCGAGTGTGAAGAAGTGCTGAATAGGCTCAGCAGTGTTGGACCTGTGTGGGTGTGAGCCATCCACTCACGTAAGAGCAGCCGCCTTTGGCCCCAGAACAGGTCGGGCTTTAGAAACGGGTTGATAAGATCTAGAGTCAAAGCTGAGGCCTGATTATTGCCACTAGCTGTGGTTGCTATTTTTTTGGGTTTATGGAAAGCTCAGCCCTGTATGACACCCGGCCCTGGTTCTGATCCAAAATAGACTTTAAATTTTGTTTAGTGTCTGTGTAAAAAAAAAAGAAAAATGGAAAAAAAAACACTGAAATAGATCTTGAAAACAAGTTTGTTCAAATAAGAAAATAAATGGATGGGATTTTTTTAAGCCTTCTCATACATGCTACATGCTAGTGTTTTCTCTTATCTGTGCTCCTAGTATCGAGCCATGCTGTGTCTTTGAATTGAAATGCTGTAATAAATGCTCTTGAGTGTTTCATTGTTATGTACCTACTATAATCACTGGTTTTGCCACCGATCACCTAAACCTGTTACATGGAATGGCTGTTTACAGGAGTGATTATTTTCCAATAAAGCAACTAGTCTTGTAGTTACCACAAATTAGTAATTAGTCCTTAAAATCGTAGAAATGGCTATGAATAATGAAGATGTGGGAGTTTATTATGGAGATGCTGCGGGCCGGAATTAACAAAAGCACACGGCAACAGTCTAATTCAGTCATGGCTTGGCTGTGTGTTTTGGGAAATGTGGTGAAGATTGACAGACTTGAGATGGGTAGCACCCAAGAGACCTTCTAGTCACTGGTGTGCTGTCAGCATGAATGGGCAGCCGCAGTCGGACAGGAAGTTTGGAGAGGCTGACAGATACAGATGCCTCCTCACTCACTAGCTAACCACAAGTATTTTGGCCTGTGACGAAGAATTAATGGTGCGTTTGGTTTATGTAAAAGGAAGTGGGGTGGGGAGGGGGGGGTGGACAAAGGCATGCACCACATCACATCACATCACATCACATCACAGGGAATCTGACAAACGGCATGGCCCTTGCAATGCAAAGGTGCTGGAACAACTGTGAACAGGTAATTCTAGAAACTGCGAATCTTCAAAACATTTAGAAAAAATCTTCTGTAATACTGCACTCAAGTGGGTACATCATTTCAACAAGGGGTGGGTTGAGGCTGTGAGTCCTTCCCAAAAGTGGTACTCTACTCATTTTTCTCAGTCGTATAGGAGTCGTATGTTTTTAGTCATTTTTCATCTTGAAAATGACGCAGCCTGCAATAATGTTAGTTGTAGGAAATAAAATAATCTGAGAGAACATATTTCTTTTATGATGCTATTCAAAGCGAAAACCAAAATAAGACTTGCATTGCCCTTTGTCGGTCTTTCTGACGTACACCAGTTCAGGTAGTTTGGTTTTTTGTGTGATTAAGGTGGTCCTTCTGAAAGAGGTTTATAGTTTCAGGGTGTTTTCCTTTGGTGTGATATTTTGTGACTAGTGTAACAAATGCTCAGCTGTTGAATGATTTACCATGGTCCTGCCACCCCATTACAAAATGTTCACTGAAAAAGGAGCCATAGTTGCAGATTTAAAGCCGTAACAAGAAGTATGAAGAGTGTTATTGGTGTGACGCAAGACGTTATGTTTGTGCTGTACACGTCAGTTGGGTATTCCATGAAATCATTTCCTTATACTCTAACATTTCAAAGAAATGACACAAGATTCATGGCTGCATTTATTTAAAAACAGTAACACAGTTGCGTCAAACTGTAAAAAGCAGCACAGGTTACTCATTCAGTTATTCAAAGCTGTTTTATAATGCCTGACTATTACACTTCAACACTGGGCGTAGTTGATATTAAATTCTTTTCCCCAGTACTGGAAAAGCCAGTAACAAATGATAGGTCAAGATAGCATCACCTCCTACCTAGACTAGCCCTAAAACCACATTAAAAAAACGTCTGACACCTGACACAGGTTCATGTACATAGGAGTACAATATGTAGCCTTCAGAATAGGCTCTGGACCCCCCAAGACCCTGAATCGGCCAAGCGGTTACAGAAAATGGATGGATGGATAGATAAAGATGTTTCGATAGTGTGACAGAAGGGTAATCCTATATTTGATCATCCGTAATATAAGAACGTGTTAGGGTAAGCTCTGGATGTTTCCCAGTATGTCCCTAGAATGGTTTGTAAAATGAGTCTCTGTATCGTGTTTGTGTTTTTCGCCATGTACTGTAATTTCATGCCATAACCCATTCTGCATGCAAACACATGCAAGACCCTTGGAATCAAGTAAACAATCTGTTGTGTCGTGGGACTCTGAAATTTTGCCCCAAATAACCTGCTTCTGTAAATTTACACGATTGTTGTTTAGGCTTTGCTGTGTTTGCACTGAGGGCCTGTGTGCCAGTACAAATTTGGCCTGTGCTATGTTGGTGCTGCTGAATCCCAGAACAGTCTGCTCTAAGCTGCGTAAATGTTATGCCTTCTTTCTTTGGGATGTTTTCCAGTCTCCCAGGCCAGTCATCTTCCTTTTCCTGTCTTCTGTGAGTAACTAAAATCATCCACATTCATGATCCAATGAAAGAAAGAGCCCCTCTCTGACAATCTGGAAAAATCCCAGTTATTTTCCATTCAGAAAAGATGGATTGAAACTTACACACATATTAATGTAATTTATTTGCTGTGCTGTCATGTACAGTATAAAATATAAATAACGGCAAAACTGTGTCAAGACAATATTTCTTCTGTGTAATGACTAAAAGGCTTAAAAGGGTTTGGGAACACAGAAAGTGTACGTAATTGTTTCCTGAAGTTGGGATGTTGGGCAATGCACAAGGAACTGGGAGAGAAATGACAGTCAAAATCATCCGGAAAATCACCTGATCCAGTGTACTGAAAAGACCTTTTTAGTAGTATAGTGAATGTTGATATCCTATATGCTGTTTTCTGCCTGTGTGGGTCAACTGAAATGTGATTACTTTACCCCACAATGCAGCTCTTCCTGGAAATACACCCCTGCTCCCCTTCCTGTCCCATGAAGCTAAACAAATTTAGGATGTAATTATCACATCCGGCCTCTACGTCCTGGTGAATCTTGGTGAATTTGTTGCACACCAGACGCACTCCTCCCAGTGAAGAGACAGCCCCAAATATAAATTTCCTTTCTAAACTAAACAAAATGAGTCTTGTTTTCTGAAGTACAAAGCCAGCTTTAAGTGTCATTATTAGTTTCTCGTGGGTCCTTTAGCAAGTCCGCGTCAAACAGATTTTCTCTGACTATATCAAGTGACTCCTTGCATTGGTGAGTGAGGTTGCTTCTTCCAGTTCTTCCAGAGAGTTTGAACGGTAAAGAAAGTTATTATGTACCTCTAGATCACACACTTATCGAAACATTACCTTTTTCCTATTGACTCGATTGTCGCATAATTAGATTGAAATATGTAGGTTTAAAAAGTGGTAACATTATACCCTTGTCATCCAGACAAGTCAGTACAGGGAATGCATTTATTTCATGTTTTTGTGTCTGCGGTGTCATGAAAAAACGAGGAGAAACCAACATTGCGTCACTCAGACATGCTAACGTCAGAGCTGCTCATCATCTTATGACATAAAAGGGGGGAATCCCAAGGCAGGACTCAAAGATTTTTACCCACTGGTCCTTATTTTCCCCACGAGGGACATGGAAACTGTCACTCCTGTGTGTGATGACAGCTGTGACCTCATCTGTCACCGCGGATGTCACCATGATGACCTCGGGAAGGGAGTTCTCCTGCTTGGCTAGTGTGTACGTGCACTGAGCGTCTGAAAGCAGGTGCACGTGGGTGATTTGCCTGCAACACCACCAGATGAACCACAAAAAGATAATTAACTGCCTTCACCTTTCAATGGAGGCCTCTCAGATTACCGTAACAGGAGAAACAGGCTACTTGGAAGGGTCAACAGTGCCCTTTATAACACACTTGCCCATTATTCTGTATACTTTTTAATTTACTGCTTAGTTACTTCCAGGCAACGTTATGTTATGGGAGACACAATAAATTTCTAAAACTGCCCGCAACAGTTCCATTTGAAACCTGAGGAACATAGAGGCTAAATCTGAACTGGCCAATGTATTGTAATTATTATTTGTCATACTCTGGGATGAGTAGTGCATCAGTCATCCCAGGCCGAGCTGCCCATGCCCCATCGACCCAGCCCAAATACCCCCTCCCCTAACTGTGTTTTCAAGGCAGTGACATCCAGGGGAATGGCTGTGGAAAAGTCATACCTCCTCAGATAGGTTACACTACTCTGCTGCTGGTACAACCGTTCCTGATACAGAGGCACCCTCGACGGTACCCTCGACGATATGGGATGCCTGTTAACCACCCCACCCCCTTATTGGTCTGGGTTCCGCTCCTTTCAGAGCCACTGCCCACTTACAGAAAGGCCTTTCATTCCATCCAGACCTTTAATTATTGGTGTAAACTGACTCAAGATATACTTTATGCTCATACAAATACAGCACTGACATTAAGATTAATGAAAGTTTAAATGCCCTGACGCTTTTGCTTCTGTCACTCCAGGATGTTTACGAGGATGGCCAGTATATTGCGTAATGGGAATGATGTTATACTGTTCCTTTTCCCCCGGTGCTTGAAGTGGACCAGTAATCAATGATACTCAGTACCAGCAACTCTTTGTGTTCCTCTTCAGAATACTAGCACCTCTCAATAAAAAGTACTGAATGACAAAGGGAGTACCGGCACCTGGTACTGAATGATAAGGGGAGTTCCGGCACCTGGTACTGAATGACAAGGGGAGTACCGGCACCTGGTACTGAAGGACAAGGGGAGTACCGGCACCTGGTACTGAATGACAAAGGGAGTACCGGCACCTGGTACTGAATGACAAGGGGAGTTCCGGCACCTGGTACTGAATGATAAGGAGATACCAGCACCTGGTACTGAATGACAAGGGGAGTACCGGCACCTGGTACTGAAGGACAAGGGGAGTACCGGCACCTGGTACTGAATGACAAGGGGAGTTCCGGCACCTGGTACTGAATGACATGGGGAGTTCCGGCACCTGGTACTGAATGATAAGGAGATACCAGCACCTGGTACTGAATAACAAAGGGAGCACCGGCACGTGCTACTGAATAACAAGGGGATACTGGCCCCCCCCACTTCAAACACTGTTTTTACCTAGTACTGTATTTAACGTGGCGCTTACAGATAGAGGTTTACAATATCACATAAATTGGCGTTACCCTCCACTGGAGTCTTACATGTTGGATGGCAATAGTCCAGCCTTTGTGGAAATCTGTGAACTACGTCTCCATGTCAAAACAGCAGACAGCAGTTCATAGTACAGACAGGTCCTGTTATAGTCCACACTATTATACACTTATACTGAGCATCCTCATGTAGTTTGTAGGAGTGTGATGCATTTTGCAAGATGTCTCTTGAACTCTACTTAAGTGTGCAGCTCTGCTCAGAGACGGGGAATTTCTGGATGGCTGACAGGCCACCCGATCTGCAATGTTGTGGAAGATTGCTTTGATCCAGGACCTAGGTATGGACCGATGCCATGACTGTGTGACCAGAGGAAGAAGCTTTTATCTGTAAGGGATGAGGCTGATGTCCCATAACAGCACCATCATCTGGCAAACTCTTAACTAGGATTTTGAAATATACTGACTATAAATGGAAATTATTATCCTTATCCTGATATTTAATTTCATACAGTTACCCATTAACTATTGCCCCTGTGTAAAAAGAGTAATGCTAATGCTTTATATTAACAGCACCTTCATAATGCCTTTATAATGCATTTGTAGAACATTCATAAGCAACGTGTAAGTATATTTTAGCAATCCTAACGTAACAGCTTTAATACTTTAATAATAAACATTATACGATTATACAATTCCGAAGTGCAGAACTAAGAGGTACATGATAGGGAGTAGCTTTGCTCCCGCGGAAGTCATTCAGCTGAACAATGAGACTATAGTTGGGCAAGGATGAAGAGGCAGTGCATACTTCTTCTTATATGTTTTATTAATAGTATTTTACACATGTGATCTTATGTATTTTATTAAATATTATTTTACACATGTGATCTTATGTATTTTACAAATATTATTTTACACATGTGATTAGATAATTATACTTATGTCTTGTGTGGTTTTATTTATTTATTGATTTATTTATCGCTTGATTTACTTGTCTGTGTGGGTGTCTGCTTGGGGTAGTTTGCTGGTTATGTGGATGCTGACTCTTCTCCTGTAAACTAAATTTACCTGCGGGTGAAAATAAAGTATCTTGAATCTGAGCCCTAACCTGACTGGGTCTCTGCCTCATGGTTACTCTCTAGATATTCATTTCAAATCAATTTTTACAAAATATGATTCAGATTGTGAATTTTATGTAGGCTCGGCTACTCCTGGGAACATTAATACTATTACAAATGTTCTCTATTTGGAGATTATGGCTGCCACAGTGGTTTGGTAGAGCCCACAAGCTTTGAAATGGCGTTGCAATCCCGTCAAGCTTGACAACTCAATAGCTCAACTTTTTTCAGATTTTGTCCGAAAATATATTTGATCATGTTCATAGGTGCACATTCAACCTTTGTGATTTACCCTGATGGTCAAATTAATATTGAGGTGGGTTGTTATCAAGCTTAGCTGTATATAATTCAATCTGTTTCTTTTAATTATCCCTTTAATTTGTAACAATAACTTTTTCACATAGATATCGGTTGAAGATTGGAAAACATCAGATGTCAATATGCAGAAACACAGGAAATGAGGAATGCATGTAACATAATGGTGAAGAAACAAACCCTGTGAACATTAGTCATACAATAGTGCATTTTCTATTTTTTTAAAGGCAAGCATTGCTCAGTAGGTATTAACAATTTTACAATAATCAGTAGATCAAAAATTCATCAATATTCACTCAACACTGCAACAAGCAATATAATTATAGTTTGGTACATATTTACATAAATAGATTACAAATTGTATAAATTATTAATAATTAGTACTTAATAATTACTTAATAATTACAAAATTACACTTGAATATGGAGTTAATATCAAACACGACGAATGGTGCTCATTAATGCTATGAATGTGTGATTGACGTGTAGTACAAAGCCCAAGAATACATTGTAACATTATGACAAACATTGAACATTATGCAAAATGCAAACAGCATGATCAATCATCTTTAAATAATTTCATTATTCTTCATGCCCATCCATTGGGAAGGGGAGCCCTTCAAACTTGGATCACAGAATTTTTCATGTGCTGATACGACTTCTTATAAGTATATACAATATTGCAAAAATATCCTTCAGTAAAATTACTTTATTCAAGTGATACAAAGTCTCATTTAAATTTGATATGCAGGAGGCTTTGTCCTCAATTATCACAGCTACGCCTGTTGTATTAGTATGAAGTGCTTATTACGTAAAGCACATTCAGTTTGGCTCTCCGCCTCCCCCTCCTGGACAGTTATATTACTGAAGCTGAGCAAGGAGAGGGCTGCAGTCTCCGAGTTGCTCCAGGCTGTCTACAATTTCTATCAGTCCCTCGACCTTATCTGAAGGCAGCACAGCACCAGCATTGGCCCGGAACTTTCTCTGCAGGCTGTTGTCGGTGAGGGGATTGCGCCAGTGCCCATAGAACGTGTTACAGCGGCCTTTGAGAACGTCCCCATCGACCAGCGTCACCAACACCTCTGCATACATGCGGTCGAAGTTGGCGGGGTTGTCGTTGGGGTGCTCAACTCGCACCCGGGACAGCAGAGTGTGCAGCTCGGGTCGCCGGAGGCCAGCGGGGTGGAAGGATTGCACGGTCACTTCCCCGTCCAGCAGAGCTGTGCAGGCGTTGAACTGGAATGAATGGCGGGCCTCATGCTCGGACTCTGGGAACGGCCTATTGATGTACTTGGAGGGAGGGATCCTCAGCAGGATGTCTTGGATGAATGCCGGGTTGAAGTTACCGTTGTGGGAGCCGACCAGCTGCTTGTGGACAGAGGCGGCCGCGTCCGCCACCCAGTGCATGCCCAGGTGAGCAGGGAAGCGCTTGAAGCCCATGTCCTGCTCTTCCAGCAGGAACGAGGGATCCACTTCCTCAGGGCAAGGCAACAGCTGAGGAACATAGTCCTCATAGAAGGCGCTGAAGCCAGACACTCCAGGAACGGAGTCCAGCACTAGTGGACTGGCCTCCAAGCCCCGGGATGCCAGGAGCGCGGCCTCCAGGCCCTGGCGTGATGCATTGCCGATGTGAAGAGGCTTGGATTGCGTGGCTGCATTGGCCATGGGTGCCCCCGCCTGGGACGCAGCTATAGCCAAGGCGTGGCTGCACTGAATGCGGTCCAGGGACAGGAGGCGAGCGCAGGCTGCAGCACTTCCCATGGGGCCCACCACAGTAGGGGGGTGGAACCTGCCGGGAGATGGAAACAGCTAAAGATCTACTGGAGACCTGGCAACCGGCACGTAGCTGCGCAAACAGTCACTCTGTGAGCATTGGGCTCTGGTGGAGTCATTTTTCTTTTTTTTTTCTCCACCAGCTTCAATATTTAAGTCACTTTTACAGGAAATAACACATTAGTGTTCATTTAGTCACGTCAGCACAAAACAAACAAAAACACAACTCAGAAACGACTTCCTTCCATATGTCTGTGTGTGTTTTTGTGAAATCAGCCGAGCCATATGCACCTTTAAGAAAGAGAGCTGAATTATGAATAAGCATTAGGGCCAATGTTCAGGCACATACGGGTGTGCATACGCCTTCTTTCAGAATCCAGTACCAGTTGTTTTGGGGACAAATTTACCCAGTCTGATGGAACAGTGAGAGGTCTGATGTGTGTGAATCATTTTTTCTGGGCTTAAGTAGTGGCCACAACTTTGTCTTGTAATTCACTGACTCATTGGTTGGCTGCCCAACTAAGCCTGAACAGGAAACTGACCTCTTGGGGATGTTCTGGGCCTCGTTGGAGAACCGCAGCAGCCTGCCCTGGATCTCGATGCCCACGTTGAATGCCATCAGCAGGTCCATCCCGCTAGGCTTGCTGTTCCTGGGTAGCATGTCGCTGATGGCCAGGAGGGCGGGTAGCACGGCACCTGAGGGATGGGTGGCTGGGTGCCAGGTGTCGTCAAAGTCCATGGAGTGAGACTGCGGGGCACAAGCAACATTTAGGACAAAGTAGGCATGCTCTGGCGCTGGGAATAATATAACTTCCCCAGTCCACATTCCCAGTTAAGTCACTTGTGTTTTATGGCATGATTAGGAGGTCTGGCTGCCAAACTGTGATCTGTGATCCAGGCTCACAAACAGTCCTGCTCCCCCCACCCCCACCCCAGGCTGATCTCACACTAACAGCCAAAAGCTCTTCTCAGAGGACATGAAGAGCTTCAGCAGGACCACTGGGTGCCCAGGAGGACAAGCAGTCAGTATGCATTTCATGATGCAGTTATGCACCGGGAATGAATCCTGGAAACATGCTATTAGGCTAACTGGAGAGGATCTTCATTAGAATCCTTTAGGATGAGTTATGTTTAACCTAGATTCCCACAACTTTTTAGCACCATATCTACATCCAGAAGTATTTTAAATGGTTCATCTTCTTAAGGCTTCCATCCATTTTTTGAAACCGCTTGTCCTATTCAGGGTTGCAGGGGGGCCTGGAGCCTACGGGCACATGGCAGGACACAACCCAGGATGGGGCACCAACCCATGACAGGGCAGCAGGGCACAATCACACACCGTTTTGGCAACTCCAATTAACCTCAGGATGTTTTTGGACTGTGGAAGAAACCCAAAGGAAACCCCACAACAACACATGGAAAACATGCAAACTCCCCACATATAGAACCCAGACTCGAACTCTGGTCCAAGAAGTGTGAGGTAATGGTGCTAAGAACTACACCATCATGCCACTCTGTAAGGCATTCCTGTTTAAACCTCAGGGTCTGGGGAAGGCACCCTTGTCAATGCCTGATTAAATGTGATTGTGAGCAAAACTGTCTAGTCCAAAATGTGATATTATCCACGGCACTGTTGACACTTACTGCTACTCCGTTGACGAAGGCGGCCAGCATTGGAGAAAGCTTAGTGCCCGGGCGGCCGTAGACTGAGCTGATGTCATTTGTCATTTGGTACATTTGCTGTGAGGGTGATGACACAGATTTCAGGTTTCAGGTGGCCTGAGGCTACAAACGTCAGATGCCGACTGTTGCTGCGTCTACACTCGTGTCCCTACCGTGAACCTCAAATATTCCTCACATGCTACACCATTAATTTTATTTGCGTAGTGCGTGATGCATGTTATCTCTCCGATGCTAGTATGCCATACATCTTAAAATATTATAGTTAAGCAACTATGCACAGCACCACAAAAAAAGGATGCGTGCAGCAGGACTATTTCCCGCCACTTTTCCCGCAGGACTATTTCCCGCCACTTTTCCCGCAGGACTATTTCCCGCCACTTTTCCCGCAGGACTATTTCCCATCACTATTCCCGCTAATCTTCTTTACAAGGCAGAAGTGAACCTAAACAGTCTTTTGTTACTGGCTTTTCTTTGCTTGCCCACACTCCTCAGCACCTTACCCGGCAGTGCTGCAGGACCAGCTCAAACACGTGGGTGGTGCTGCCGAGGATGCCCACACCAATGCTGTCCAGCACCATCCTCTGGCTCCGGCGCAACACTTTTTGCGTCAGCTGCTCCGGCCGCACGCCGTGGATGAATGCCCCAAAGTTGGCAGTCACCGTATCCTCCGGGCCTAGGCGTTCAGCCACTGCAACAACAAAAAAAAAAAACAGGGGGTGGGGTGAAAAGGTGGCTGAGTGCACGGGAATGTCCACTGGCAAGGTTGGGGTTGGGGGGGGGGGGGGGGTGTTGCTTTTCCGGAACAAAAAGAACATTCATTGCAGGCAGGTGTGTATGGCTAGACCCGCTTGTTGACAAAGCAGTAGGCTATAGCTACTCAAGTGAGAGGTACGGATTAGGGTCGATTAGAATTACAAAGGGGAGACTAAAGGCCTGGGAGGGATGACGAGATTATCGACAAGGCAAACTCACCTTCCAGGGCAGATACATGCAGCCTCCGGAAGGCAGGCGCGCACCGGGAAGATCTCTGAAAGAGACAGCAGTCAGCTCGGCACTGGCAAAACTATGCACGTCGTTGGTTGTTTCTGGTGACAACAGAAAGCCAATATGCCATAACGATTCTTGCCAGCCGAGAAACAAGTTTTTGAGACCTATCTGGCAACCGGGTGAACTTAGCAGCCGGATGGCTGAGAGCTATTATCTGGCAGCTATTATCTACAGAGGCAATAACTGTTATCTGAGTCCTTAAACCGACGTGTTGACTGTAGATGAAGGCGGCTGTTATGGTGCTGCCAAAAATTACAGTCACAGTCATGCTATTTCTTCAAATTGAAATTGTTCTGTTCCCGTCCAATTAAGCGGAAATTTGTAAACTTTTCTGAAAGGCATGATAATACAATAATTGATAGACACAACCTCTTATTTTGAGAAGTCTTCCAGGCTCTAGTCCAGCCTCAGTCACACACACTCTAGCCTAACAGTGACCAAAATATTTCCTGCACAGACTGTGCCTCCCTAGACATCTGACGGTGTCTACATGTATTACCAGCTCTAATTCCCAATGAATACAAATAGTATATGAATCTATATAATTAATATACATTACAATTTATATAATACAATTTATATAAATAACGTTCACATAGCTAAATCAAGAATTTCACTTAAAATGCTCCATTCTGGGTGCTTACCCAGATTGTGAAAAGTATGACGTAAGTTGGTCGGAGCATTCTCGCGGGCTTGTGTGGCGTTGGTCGTCTCGGGTCCCTTTCCAGCCGCCTGTCGTGTTTCTTAGAGAGGTCTTGAACGAGGATGCAGCTGGTGCTCAGGTGAGGTCATGTCTGCCTTTATATACCCGCTGGCCTCCCAGGGCTGCTAACTGAATGCACAAAAAAAAGCAAGCTGGAATTTCCTTAACTCTTTTTTTTCACAGAATGGTATGTTAATAAGTATGGGTTTTTTTTTGCAGGAAGTTCATTGTGTGTTGAGGTGATGATCCAGTCTTGGGTGGGGCTGTGAGTGGCAGGAGGGGGGGGGGGGGGCATCATCACTTCTCCTCCTCCCAGTGGGCTTGTCCTATAAGGAAAACACTGGGGACACCTCCCCAGTTCATGGTGACACTCTGAGCTCCACTCTCCACCAGGTACGTCCATCTTTAATAAAACACTCTCTGCTACTTTATGTAAACAGTTACTTTAACTTTCACTTAAAAAAACAATAATTTTTTAATGCCAATATTAAACTTTGAGACAGCTTACAGCATATAGTGTGTGTATTAAATGACTGAAAAAAAGAATAACAATGTGCTTTCAAAAATAGTTAGATGCTTTATATTTAATACATATTTATTTATTTTCGAAAAACAATCTGGCAAAAATTGCCACACTCATTAAAACATTTTAATAAAATGTGTGTCCCTGCACATTGACTGGTGATAAAGTTATTTTTTTTACTTTTTATCGTTTGCGAGTTATGCTTCCAATATACCAGATTATTTGAAAATATAAGACTGTATGCTTTAAATGACTTTTTCCATGACATAGAGCTGGAAAACTGAGAAATGGTTTTCTTGCTAGCATGTCATTACCCTGACATTTACATAGAGGGCGCTCCTAGCATTGTATTTGATGTTGGTAACAAACATCTTCACCCCAATCTTCTATGGAGATTTTAAAGTTTGAGAAACTCTCCTTAGTTTTAGGAAAAATTATGTACCTTTGAATGTAATAGTAGGTTTTGATGCCCCATTAAACAATATGTCTAGAATAGATACACACAGACACACACACACACCGGTTGTAATTATATCTTTATGGGGACCCCTACCCAGCCCTAACTTTAATCACAATTTACCAAATAAAATATGAGACTTTTGGCATTTTTAGTTTTTTGATGTCATTCACAGATCTTTGTGGGAACCTGAGAAATGGTCCCCACAATGTCAAAATAACAGGTTTTTATTACATTGTGGGGGACATTTGGTCCCCACAATGTAATATAAACATAATCCATACACACACACACACACACACACGCACAGACATATATAGGTTGAGTCAGTATTTCTTAGATAAACTGAGTATAACCTAACTTCACAGAATAAGATAACTTTTCACAGAATATGTCAAATTGTGTAACGTTCTGAACCAATATGATGGGCTTTTTTGTTTGCAGAATTTCTTTTTAGAACAGGCCACATGGCATCTGCGGAGGGGTTTCCGGCAAGTTTTTATGGTGAACCAGGAGTGCTTGGCCTTATGGCTAATGGGATCAGTGCCTTTCTGGTGCTCCTGCAGAACTTCAGTGGGGCGCAGACCGGTGTTCCGGCTCAGGGTGTGGAAGACATCCTAGCAGGTATACCTCATTAGACAACAGAGAACACAGTGGTTAAGAAATGGGGCAGATACCGATTTTGCAGTGAGATCTGGCTGCGGGATAACTGAGAAAAACAATTAAGCTAAGGTTCAAGTTCACTACTATGTCCTTCTCTATATGAATGGTTAAATAAAATTTAATTCACCATGAAATTGTCTAGTGGGTGACTAATCCCCTGACATTTGTTACAGAGGCTGAATCAGTGCTTTATATATATGGTGCTTTGAATATTTGTTTAAAGTCTTTAGATCTTCTAGCTTCCTGGTAATTGATAATGTTGTGTTTCCTGTAAATGTGTAACAGGGTTCTTGTGTCTGTTGTGCATACACAGGTGTTCATCTGATCCTCATAGGCGGCGTGTGCCAAATGGTGGCAGGCCTGCTGTCATTCCGAAAGTATGATCATCTAAGTGGGACCGCCTTTGTTGGCTATGCGGCACTCTGGGCCAGCTATGGTGCCACCCGGATTTTCCTTGGCTCCACTGAACCTCAAAGCAACACTTCAGCAGTTGAAAATTTAAATTCGTCTTTGAATATGGGGTTGTTATCGCCCCCTGTCAGGGAATCTGCCATTGCAGGTCTGATTCCTTATATCATCATGTCTTTCATCTTAGCTTTTTGCTCTGCCACTGTCAACTACATCATGCCTTTTGTATTTGGTGCTATCACGGCCACCTTGATCTTTGAGGCAGTGGGGGTGGTGGGCAAATGGGCTTTAGTGGTCTCGGGGGTTCTGGAGCTCCTCATCCTGCTCTTTGCCATCTATGGGTCAAGTTCCCTGCTAATTAAAGGCTTGGCTCAACGATATGTACTCAAAGGGTTTGGCAGCCCACTCTTCAACGTGCTCCTGCTTGGCACAGCCAATGCTAAAACCGCCAACAGCCTGGGTCAAGAGAAGAAAAAGAATACCAAGTATGCTGAGCCCACAGCCCTGGGATTCTTCTGTGACACCATCTCACCTTTCGTCTTTGCCTTCTACTGCTTCTGCTACATAAAATTCTTCACTGTCTCAGTTGCCTGGGTCTCCATCATTTCTGTAGCGCAGCTTCTCTCCAGCTACTATGCCTACCTTCGGCAGGACTGCTACCACTTGACAAAGTTTGGTCTTCATTGCACATACTGGCTGGTGAAGGCCTGGGAAGAATTCGTGCTGTCCGCTCTGATGGGAAGGACAGTGAGCACTGAATCACGAGCAGCAATGGTGGGCGACTGGTTCTTTGTGGCCTCTGCCATTGTTCTATGTATACTGTCTCTGAACATGGACACACTAGAGCTGGTGCACAATGCAGGCTTCCTCCTACTCACCATCTCCACTGTATCCCAAATCCCTCTTGATGGGTACTACATCTTCTTCGGGGTGGCGTGCTCCATCTTTACCATGATTTCCCTCTACGGCACCTTCACCCGTCTCATCAACACCATTGCAGAGAAGTCACTGATTCCAGTAGGACCTCAGCCTGTCTCCACTGAGCACCTCCAGAATACACTGGACTTTCTGAAGAGAAGCAAAGGCACAGTTGAACATCAGAATCCATCCCATCACAGTGGAGCAGAGCTACCCGATGCTCTGTTCTACATTACCAATGGCTTGGCAGCTATGTCTGCCATCCACAGCATCTCAGTGGATCTATCCTTCCTGCATCTAACTGTGCCTTGGGTGCTAATTGCAGGAGCAATCATCCAGGTCTACGTGAGCCGACTACAAATCTATGGAGGCCGGCGCTTTGGGTCAGTCATTCCCTCCTTCTATGCAGCTATCTGGGCCGCATGGACATGGTATCGGTTTGCAGGTGAGTCCTGTGTTGGGCAGTGGCGTATTTTACAAGAATATCGATGTCAATATCAATATGACAAACATCAACTAACAAAACCTGCTGCCTGTTGTAGGTCCTTTGCTGGGTATCACTTCTGATGCTGCCTACGGCTTTACCGCTGGGGCGATTGCCTTCCTGGTAGCAAATGGATTCTTAATGCTTATAGGTAAGCTTTTTTGTTTGCAGACAATGCAGTGGCATTAAGCAATGTGCCCCATTTTCAGTATTTACGGTACGTGGCGTGATTGTTGGGATTTACTGGAACAGTGCTTAGAAAGACAGACGTTTTTTTGCCATTAAGATGGTCTCCGCCCTCTCTATACAAAGGTGCCTACAGGAATCTCATTCTGCTTTCCACGACTACTGTGATGGAGGTCATCCTGGTGTGTTTCCTCCTTTCTACACTTGGCAGACTGCCCTACCAACTGGAAGGTAAGGAGTGCAGAGATTACCAAGTGGGTGCATGACCATGATAGCAGCAAATGTTGCACATAAGCCTGGTACAGCAGTTATCCTTCCTGTTTTCTCGGAGATGCCTTCTAGTGCTGAAGCCCGGGTATGTCGCACATTTGGATATGACAGGCTGCTCAATAACAACCTTGGATGGTTTTCTTTGCAGTCGCCATGCTGTCAGTATTCTCCATCATATGTTTTTACGGAGCTCTGGCCTCCCTCGTCAGCTGCATCTTCTTTGGAAACCTATTGCCCCTTGGGCCCGCTGTCTTCAAGGTGAGTGCCTACCGAAGTCTTGTCCAATTTGATTGATTTCTGGGGCAAGGAAACCCGACAGGTAACCCCACTGATCGTTCCAGAACGCAAAGAAAATGGAAGCAGCACTGGATCTTCCGTGCCCCCTGGCCGAGTCTCGACTAACGAGTGGGCTGATCACAATCGCTAATCTTCTGGATCAGAGTGGTGTGTGTGGCATCCCGACTGACACTGTGTATGCTCTGGCGGCCTCCTGCAAAAACCCTCAAGCCATTGAAAAAATCTACAACATTAAGGTATGGTCAATAGGAGAACAGAACAAATGAGGTCTATGTAATATACATATTGCTATTGCTGACACTTATAGAGATGCCCTGTTGGAATTTTTGTATCACTCAAACCATTGATTGTACTACATTGATTGTTTACATTTCAGGTAAAGCAGCATGGATGTAAATCAGATGAGAGACACTGAAACTGAAGTTTCATATATATATCAATGTTTTCCAATCAAGTCCTCGGGGACCTGCAGACAGTCCAGGTTTTTGCTCTTACTGGGAGCTGGGAAGGAGCAAAAACATGGACCCCTCTGAGTTCCTGAGGACCAGATTGAGAAACACTGCTATATATCCATTCATACATCTTCTGCTGGTTATCCTGAGCATGGTGGGGGCCGGAAAGCAAAGGGCACAAGGCAATTCCCATATACGTAGGTGTATTAAAATTTGAGTGCTTCTACCATCAGGACCGGCCAGCAGAAAAGCCCATCTGTATCTGCATCTCCAATGTGGAGCAGCTGGTAGCAGCCAAGCCACCCTTCAGCCCCCTGCTCTGGGAATTCATGAGAAATGTTTACCCAGGAGGAATCAGTTGTATTGTTCCAAAAGGCGACTGGCTCTTCAAGCTGGGTAAGATTAATCTAACACTGCCAGCAATTTACTTTTCATTTTCACATAGCTCTGTGTATTGGTCTTTAAGGGACATATAATATTAGTGCTAACTCTAGAGCTAATATTAAGGGAACTTGTAATTGTGTAGGTGTTGGGCCAGCTTATGACCGCGTTGGCACCAATGACAGCATCATGATCCGGGTGCCTGACCACACTGTGACAGGGCACCTGTGCAACATTACGGGACCCCTGGCAATCACGTCAGCCAATCCCAGCGGCGAGCCCGACAGCACCCACCATGACATGGTTATCAAGTAAGTTTCGACGAGTTCCCAGCATGTGTGGCGTTAACCTGACTGCGGTGTTACTATTATACTAATAGTCGTGTTTTATTGTGGTTCAGTCAGCATGCAATTTGAGAAGAGACCTAAATTCTCTTCTGAAAGAGTTCTCTAATAATATCTCCAATTTGTAGCCGCTTAGGGCACAAGATTCAAGGGGTCCTCTGTGATGGAAAGTCCAACGAAGTAGTTGCATCCACTGTGGTCAACTGCTTGAAAATAAATGAAGGTAAAAACTTATTACAATGTTGCCCTCTTAACCTGAAATGGTGTCTCCACAAAAAAAAAATCCCAAAAATCCCAGTGATTGACTGGTATTAACTGAGCTTTTCATGATTACAGGTGACATTACTATTGTGCGGGAAGGATGCGTACCAGCAGCCAGGGTGAGGCAGATTTTTGAGAAGGTTAAGAACAGCGTGGTGTGAGAATCCTTCCTCGTTCCCAGCTCAGAACACATTAATTCCCCCTGCCTTCTACTGTATGCTGTTCTTACAGTTCCAGTCATTCATTAAAGAAAATCTAAGATCTGTAAGCTAATTTTTTGAAAGAATGGTTTTTACTTGTCTTGTATTTCTGTATAGATGTATTTTTGAGTGTAAAATGTCAATATGACAAGAAGGATGAGCATTTTAATACACTGTTAAGTCCGGCTGCATGTAAAGTACATTTTATTTATCGTTCCAAATGTCTGATTTATGATAGTATTAATGTCATTGCTATTTTTTCAGTTATGTTCAAAAAAGGTAATTGTGTTTAGTTTAAAAACTTGCATCAAAACCATATAAATCTCAGTTGTATGTTACCAACACACGTACGTAAACCTATGATGATGTAAAATCTATTTAAAGGGATACCTTATTTTCTAAATGTAACGTTTGTTTTGTGCTTTGTTGTACTATTTATAAACATGAATGAAAATATAATGATCTCATTTTTGCCAATGGCTGCCTGTGGACCTAAGTAAAGTCATATAGGGTTTAATTGTCATTAATTATCATCTATATAGAGGAGTATAGTAGCAAGTGACAAAAGACAGACAAAAAGGAGTTATGCACATAGACTTATGTGCAAGTAACAAAACAGTGCACAACAAGGGGTTGAACATACTGTAATACCACACAAAACCACATATAGTACAAGTCAAAGATGAGACAATATACAACAACACATGATACAAACACGAAATACTACAAATACAAACAACAAACCAAGGGAATCTGCAGGAAAAAATGAAAGTATGATTAAATAAATACTAAACTGTAAGCAATAAATCAGAAGGAGTAGGGCTAAGCGTTTGCTGACCTAACTTCCAAAGATTTCTTTTGCATGCAGTAATTGTATAATGAATGGTCTATTCTTCCTTTAATTGTTTTGACTGATGTTATGGCTGATAGGTGTCACACACCTATATCTTTACAGATAGCTACTGATGTGACTGATAGATGTCCAACACCTCTGTAGACAAATGTGAAATAAATGGTTAGTCCTTGTCCCCCTCAGGTTGCTCCATAAATAGAAATATGAGTAGGATTTTGTGATTTTGTAAGTCCTAGTAGAACTTGGTTTAGGATTTTCTGGTTTCTCAGGGTCCCAACATATGGTTCTCAACCCAATTTAATGGTAAAGTGCCATACACACAATCATGATACAATCTAGTCTTTCTTTCTGTCAGGTCGTATTTTAGATTTCTGCTCTATGAAATGTATCATAACAAATGATGTTTTACACTGAAGCATTCAAGCAGTGTCCTGTAACCTAGATTAAAAAAAAACCAACAAATTAAATGATTAACTTAAAAGAATAAAGATATGCATTTAACTGAAATAAAACAAAATTCAATTCAATTCAGTTCAATTCAATTCAATTCAATTCAAAAATAAATAAATTATATATATATATATATATTAGGGGTGGAGCCGAACCCGAATACGGTATTCGGAAAGGCACAAATAATGTGTTTTTTACGAATACTTATTTCGAACAAATACTTTAAAAAATATTTGTATTCGGGAACAAGAAAAACTTTATATCAAAAAGCTGCGTTTCCTCTTGAGACCGCAGTGCATGCCCGGATGA